AGTTAATGTCATTTTTGGGATATTAAAGACCTCCTTTATCATGTGGATAAATATCTATACTCAATTTGACTGTTTTTTCGAAAAAATAGAGGGTTGTGTTCACAGTAACTCCCAAAACCATACAAGCAACCATGGCAGAAAGCAGTAACTGCAGTTACCCTTCTTTGGCTTTGATCTTCGACGCAAAAGTCCAGTTCCGCCTTTGTTATGCCATTCATAAAAGAGATGTTACGGTGCCACCTTGCAGTTACGATGATCTGCCTTTGTTTTACTGTCCATAAAAATTTGCCGCGCTTCAGTTACTGTCCATGTATTGTCACTAAATCACTTACTTCTATAACACACAAATATCCAAATAAAAAACGAGCTGTCAAATGCGTTAAGTGGTCGTTTTATCAAGTGTTGAACTACTGTAAGAATGGCAAATTGCTCTCGAGGGAGAATGATGGTGGAGTTGGCGTTGAAAAGAAGACATGAAGACCAAGGTAATAAATTATCTTATAAAATAATGCATTAGATGAAGTATGAAAGTGCCATATACTTAACGTTAATTTTGAATTGCTAGGACAAGCAACTGACGAAGAAGCTAACTAGTCTACTTATTAGCCAGCACACCAACACCAACCAAAACATCAATAGATACCTAGACAGCATGACATCTAATACTTAAATAATTAAAAATCACTCAGCAATCCATTCTGTGCCGACAATCCAGAGATGCAGACATTGCAGGAATGTAGCCTATTCAATGTTGACATTAGCCCCAGCCTAGCTATCATGCTACACATTACTTCACAGCGGCAGTAGCCTGCTAACACATACTGCACGGTGGCAATAAACAATCATTTCCTACCTTTTCTTGTAACTCCATAAAATCCATTGCAATACACGTCATCTACGATGTTTCCACAATCCTCAAAGGTTTTGAACATATAGTCCGTGTCCCTTGCTGGTATTCAGACCAAGCTATCCACAAGTTATCTAGGCTAGTTTCAAAGCGTCTTCTGTAATTAAGCGTCATTTAGCGTTAGTGAAACAGCATAAAGTGTATTTGTTGCAAAATATTATCCACGTACACATAAAACTTTTTGTTTGGTCGATTCTCTTCCCATTAGACTTTAATGAAGGTGATCAGTTAATTATCTTCTAAATGGTGGTAAGCAAATTGATTATATGTCAGTTACTGCCTTTTGCCTTTGCACGACTCCTTATTTTTTAGTAAATAATACAAAGGCAGAGTACAGTATCTGACAAATAAGGGTCAAAAGTCAACTTTGAGCACAAGATTTTTTATATACACACATTTCTTGATCTGGGCAACAAGTCACCAGATTTTCATTGCTCTACCTATAATACATTTGTGTGGACAAAACAAAAAACTTTAAAGTCATTTTTCTCAGTTTGACACTCTGGTCAGTTACTGCCTTTTGCCTTTGTAGGGCAGTATTTATTTATCTATTTTTACCAATTTTTGGTTCCCTAAAGAACACTTCAGTAATCAGTTCTTAAATTAATCATTTTTTTCTCTAATGTTAAGAATTTGGGTTCTCATTTAAAAAAAAAATCTGATATTTAGATTTTATTTCAGCAGTGGTTTTTAATAGTTTTAGTTTCATTGATCCACAGTGAGGAATAAAGAAGCATGGAGACAAGACATGATATTTTTTCATTTTCATAATTGATTTACATTTTTTATTTATATTAATACTTAATTCAAAAAAATTGTAAGACACAGCAAGACCTACACTGTGCACTCTAATAGAAATGTGCAGCCTGCGACATCCACACCTCCATTTACCACCTCCTTCTCAGCTGTCACACATGCCCTTGTGATTACAACGGGACGCTTTTAATCTCAATGACTGTTATCTCATCATACCCTTAACAGAAGTCGATATGGAGCAAATGTCAACAGGGCACCGAGACCTTGAGTGCTACAAACAAACCTCAAAGACAGACAGAGGGAATTTGAACTTTAGCACTCGTCAGCATCTCGCCTAATTCAATGAACTTGACAGTTAATAAAGTGCTTTATATTCGCCCTTCTTCTCATACATAAAAGCCTACCACACCAATTAGCTTAAATTCACTTTTTTTTCCTCCTCTCCCTTTTCTTTTCATGCTCTCGAGCCTGCAGAAAGCGCCATATTCCAGTCATTTGCATTATCCAGAGAATCTGCTTTGAAGTTGTGAGATACTGTAAGAAAAAGGGCTGCACTTATCCTGCAGAAACAAAAAAAAAAAACGTTCAAAGCCTCTAAATACTCTGGAACAGATGTACATTATCATTGGATTTGCGTTTTCGCCTCTTTGCTCCTGTATGGGTAATGGTGTAGCGTGCAGTCGCGTGTCCCTCACATCCTCTGTGTTTAGCATCTCCTCTCAACAGAAGCTAGCACCCCACTGGGCCAATCCGCACTTCAAAGCATTGTGTCTATCTACAGGAGACAAAGCACACTCCACACATATGGAAGCAGCCTCCTCACTCACGCTCGAGTCAATAGCATCATTCGCTTGCTCGCACGCTCAATGTCTGTTTGTTTTTGTGACAGAGATATGGCTCTTTCATACCTACAGCCCTAACCACACAAATCCAGCTACCAATTTGAACCTGGTGTCACTTTCATGTACTTGTGAGAATATTTGTTGAGTTAAGGAGAAAAAGAGAGAGAGGAAATTAGGTTTTAGTGGTGTTCTAGTAGGCCTCAAATGTTAGAGCATGGCGCTAGCAACGCTAAAGGGTCATGGGTTTCGATTCAAAGGACACACACATCACATGCTGATCAAAAATTCGCTTAGGCTAAATGTATATTTCTGGACAACACCAAAAAAGCTGTTCTGTGTAACATTAGCCTAAACAGAATTGTTCTGGTCTTTGGCTAGAGATATTTTCTCTCTCACATTATGCCGTCACAAAATATTTAAGCTGTAATCGATACACTAAACCGTATGCTTCATTATTAAACTTCTGGGCGTACTCTATATGTATTCCTATTGCTCTGCTGCTGCATATTGTATTTCTTTATCACAAATTGAATTTCATAATATAGCTTTCCAAAGTGTGGGGTCGGTAAGATCTGCATTAAAGGGATAGTTCACTCATTTTCAAAAATGAAAATTAAGTCATTAATTAGGGGAGAGCGGGGCACAACCTAACACATTTTGGTTTTGGCTCAATTAATTAAAAAAATAATTAGGTTAGATTAATATCTAATAATTAATAAAAAAGCAACATACACATCTCTGCTACAAATGAACACTTAAAAGTTTTTTTCTAGGACCTACCATTTTCGTACAGTTGCACTTACCCCATATGCGGGGTTAATTGTAACAGACAGAGGGGTTAGTTGTAACACTGTGTGTAACACACATACCAGTAATGCAGTACTATTTTATTTGTATAGTTTGATATTGTTTGTGCAGCTGTATAGACAGATATCCATACATCCATTCCTCATCCAATCATCCTTCTTTTGTGGATCAATATCATGGATAGAGACATAGAAAAGGGCTGCACAGTTTTGCAATAAATAATAATAAATAAAATCATAAAATACTGTAATTGCAATTGAATTAGATTTGTGTGTGGCAGCTGCATGTACAATTATTATTATTAATAATAATAACAGTAATAATAATACAAATGAGCTTAAAATAAAAATGTAAAGGGTTTATTACATTAAAAACAGGCCATATTTTTTTAGAAATAAACAAGTTATCATTCATAGTACACTAAATTTTAAACATTTTAAATTCCAACATTGTTTGTGAAAGTCCAACAAAGGTAAATGTATACTCAAACCTGAAAAGTTGTGTGGCTCGGTTTTCATTTGATTATCATTGTACACTTGGTGGCTTGTTTTTTTAACACTATTACAACTAACCCCGCAGTGTATTACATATTTTAAGCCTTGCTAAAAGTCGCTAGGAATTGCTGACATGTTTCAAAACGGTGCTATGATTGAGCCAACAAGACAGTGATTAAGGCAATATAAAGTTAGATTTGGAAATGTACACACCCAACTCAGAAACCGAAAAAAAAAAAATCTATGATGAAAAAATTTACTTGCATGGTGTCAAAACACTCTTTGTCCAGTATCTTCACGAAATATAATCAAAACTTTCTGCAAATTCGCGGGAGAGCGTATTCTGGCAGCAAGAGAAAAAGAGCGAAAAGACAACCTGCTTGATCCTGACTGACTATGTGAAAGGTCCCTGTTACATTTAACCCCACGCTAGGTTGTGCCCCACGCTCCCCTACTCACCCCCATGCTGTACCAAGCCCAACTTTCTGGGCCGTCAAGTTTCGATCCCTTAGGCAGCCTATGTAGCAGTGATCCACCTCTCAAATTTAATCAAAAATATCTTCATTTGTGTTCCGAAGATGAACGACGGTCTTACGGGGTTGGAACAGCATGGGGGAGAGCAATTAATGACTTAATTTTCATTTTTGGGTGAACTAACCCTTTAAATTATCAAAACAACATTACAAACTTTTTTTTTACAGTTCTTTAGAACTTCTATTAAACATTGATAACAATATCAATTAATAACAGGAATATAGGATAATAGGAAATGTCTATTGAGCAACACATTAGTAAATTAGAATGATTTTTTTAAAGGATCACGTGACACTAAAGACTGGAGTAATGCTACTGAAAATACAGCTTTGCAATCAAAGGGATAAATTAGAAAAAAATATTTCACAATATTACTGTTTTTACTGTAATTTATTTTTGATCAAATAAATGCAGTCTTGGTGAGGATAAGAGATATCAAACTTTTAAACAGATGGTGTTAGTAGCCACTTGTAACTTAAAACTCCTTGGCCATGTAAGACCGCAGCTGTGGGAAATATTTGAAGCGAGACATGCAAACAACATAGATATCAGAGAGCATGCAAAAGTATTTGCACTTAAAAGTAGGATGGAGTGTATATATGCATGCAAAGAAATCATCAGAAACATTCTCAAAACAGGCAAAGAAATGAGGGCCACCCACTCAGTAAGCAACAGTTCAGCTTTTAATGAAATATTTTCTCTTGGCACAAGTCTGCTGTTAAATAAATAAAGCAATTATTTCCATTCATCTATAAACTAAAAAAAAAAAAAAACATCAAGGAAAGTCACAAATTATCTGTACTAGTGCTCAGAAGAGGCATGAAATGCTACCACGTTGTGTTATTTATATACAAGCCTCTCCATGAATCACTTTCTTGGATTCTGAGGGAGTGTGTCACACACTCAATCACACAACATAAATCGAGAAATGTTATAGGTACAAATGGCACTATAGAAAATTATAGCCGATCATCCAGATGAATAGCGCAGAATCAGTCTAAAACACTGGTATCACCAGAGCAGCCAACCGTCAGGCCACAACTGATCCTATCAGACATCTATACAATACCAGTGTTAAAAGATAAACAAGAACACTGCAGGACATTCAATGAACCTACTGCCTACTGTGCATTTAGATGTTTCGCACATGTGCCGTTCTTAAAGTTTTCATTGAAGCCATGGGTTGGTTTTAGCAGCAATAATTGTGGTCAGAATGGTCAGAATCATTTAAAATTGCTATCTCACTGTAAAGTGAGAATGAGAAAATAAGAGGGAGAAATAAGCTCCACAGCACACATTCATTCCCCAGCAACAGCGAGACTGAGTGAAGGTTAAGCTGTAATGAGACCACCCTGAAGTTGCAGGTGGGTTTTCCAGAGTCTCATGTAGAGTGATGCTATCACATTTCCACCATCCTACTGAGCAGAAGAGTCAACTGATCTAACGCTAAACATATTAGGAAGTTGAACAGGTTCTAACCAAACACAATTAAACACGTCTCATCACTGAGAAAATTCTTAATTTTGTTTGACCGCTGTCCATGTTGAGGCCAAAAATCTTAAGCGCCAAACTGGGACCACATGGAATTAAAGTTGATTTTTTTAACATTTAATGTGTTTCTATGTTTAAAAATCAAAGGAGAGAGACTAAATCAATTATATCGGACTCACTTGGATTGTTAAAACACCTGCTGTGAGTTTCAACACACACACACACACACACATCTGCTTGAGTTTGATCGAAGGCTTCTCTGTTTCGTAATCTTCCGTAGGGCTGGTTTCAAATGCACACACACACTCATTAACTGTCAGAGGGGTATTGGTGAGTTATGGGACGACTGGAGACTCCTAGGCGGCGATACTGTCATCCTGCCCCTGAGCAATGAGACAGCTGCCACACACACACCCTCCAGGTGACTAGGGATACATCGAACCTAAAATAGATTCATAATGTACTATTTAAATGCTGTTTAAAACTGCTGCAGGGAGCAGATGAACTCCAAATCAACCAGACTTGTTTTCTCACTTCAGCCAATAAGTGAGCACTTCTGAGCTAAAGGCACTACCATATTGTCTACAAGATCCTAATTCAGTCTGAGGACATATTATTGGATTCTGAAAGAAATTAATCTGCCCTAAGGTAATTCTCTACCAAAATATCCTCACAGTTCAGTGGTTTACTGTTCCCTTCAAAACAGATTATATTGTCTTGTCAAATCAATAACTCAAACATGAACAAATTAACCTGAGAAATGAAAATACTATTTTTCCTTGGCAGAACAGATTCCTTTACACTTTAGAAGGTCAACTAGCAGAAGATAAAAATATTATCTATACTGTATATTGGGTCAAACAATATAAACTCTATTCAAAGTTTCCCAATCTTTTGATTTGACTTGCCATAAACATGACAGGAATATTTTTTTCAAATAAATTATTTTTTAACAAATTTCAGAACATTATTATACAATCATCAGACGATTAGTTTAAGATCTCGTATTGTATGATACACATAATAACACTATAAACTCTGATACCTAGTGGTCTTACAATGCAATTAGCTTAAAGTTACGGGGACAGGAAAACACACAAAAAGAAATATAAAAAAAAATAATAATATATAAATGTTTCCGTAATAAAGCTTACAATGGATTTAAATCCAATACATCTCAACATAACTGCAGATTGGTGGCATATTAGAACATACAGACAAATAAAAATAAAATCTGAAGAATAAAAAATTATTTCAATAATACCGATAATCATAATAATACTAGAGGTAGCAGCTGATTATGATGCTCTGTTTTCTTCATGTAGATTGGTAGAGTGTAGTTCTCATTCTGTCCTTCAACAAAGTTCTCTCTGACGGTTTGAGCGTCTTTACAGGCTCTGTCTGTACATGTGTCCTGTATTGCATTTTTAAAGGTGTTGATTCAGATCTGTTGTTTCGGAGAGAAGCTCTTCATAGATAAAGTGTCTTGAATGCAATGGCACAAGAAGTGCTTTTCAAGTGGTCTTCAGTGGAAAACAAACAAACAAAAAAAAAATCAGGATAAGTGTAAAAAAAAGACACCTTAGGCACAAAAAAAGAGCAGACCCCCCGACACACACACACACACACACACACACACTCACTCACTCAATCACAATGTAAATTACAAAACCAAGGAATTGTATTCCTTCAAAAGTGGTTTAACTACTTGAAAATTCTTCATTTAACAGGGCCGACCATCTTTTCAACCAAACAGAATAATCAGATAAGCATTATGAAAGTGAGATATCGAGGGAGAGAAAATAAGGGAAGCAGACAGAGTGAGAGAGAGAGAGAAGGGAGATAGAGCACTTATGTAGAACGTAAACCTGTCCTAAGCGGACTAGGCCTACATCAACTCATTCAAAACAACACACATGACCTCTCACACACACTTATACAGTATATACAAATGTGAACACACTTTGGCATGAACATGATGCCTTGTGTCCTTCTCAGCCCCAACGTGACCATAACCAAGAATATTTAAGATCAATTGTTAGATCAATTCCACTCTTCAGGACTGATAAAAGTGATGATAATGATGATGATGTTCATGGTGATGATGATGCTCGTGCCGCTGGACCACCTGAGCTAGTCCTCCTTCATACAGCACCAGACTGGGCAGATCCCTCACAAGCTCTTTCTCCACTACCGGGCCGGACGTCACGGTCGGCCCCAGAGCCCGATAGTGCAGCCCTTCTTTAGGCCTCTGCTTGTGCCGTCGGTACGGGCCTGAGCTTTGGTGCGGCGGCGTCTGTTTGGGGACCGCTGGGGGAGGTGGCGCTCCTCTTCTCATCACCCGACCAGCAGAGCCCTGAGTGGGTGGTGTGCGGTGCGTTTTGGGGGAACGGAGTGCGTGTGTGTGCCGGGTGAGGACGGCAGGAGGATCCGTAGAGATGGTCTGTGAGCGCCGATTGTGAGCGGGGTAAACGTGGCAATTCTCGGGTTCTTGAGATCGTGAGCGTGTCTGATTGGATGAACGTGTGGTGTGGTTGGGTTTTGCTGGTTCTGTGGCTGGAGCTGCTAAAGAAAGCACAAAAAAAATATTTTCTGTCTCTATTATTATAACTATGTTAGGTATTCATCACCTCACACACACACACACATAATAAATAAGGTACACTACAAATGCTGGATCACATCAGACAGACCCAAACTCCAGGTGTAAGTAGGGCCTACATGATGAAGATTTACGCTCTATTTACTCTATGCGATTAAGATCTTACCTGTTCCAAAGCGGGATGTGTAGTTTTCAATGCCGGCCAGGTCAAGGTAATGGTTTCTTCTCTCCAGGTTCTCATCCACACAGTGGCGCTGGCAACCCTGCTGGTTGTGGTGGTCAGTATGGTAGCGCCTAATACAACAACATTGTGTTGAAATGACTGCAAGTATATTGCTCTGAGATTGTGTACACAAAACAGGCTTGAACCAATCATTGTCCATTTGTCAATTTCTTTAAAGTTGATATTCTTTATGTGTTACGTATTTCCAGACACTAATGTGTAGTGTAATAAGTTAATAATTACCTAAGATAAGCTCTTGACTTTTTCTCTGAAGGCTTGGAGTCCTCAATGCACTTTTCTCCCTTGTGCTTGGGATGGGGAGTGTCTGATTGAGAGAGAGACAGAGAGAGAAGGAGGCCTTTATCAAAGTGAACGTCGTTGAGTTGCACAGCATCACACAAGCGCACATATACTGCAGCAGCTTTAAAGACCAACCAAAATAAGAAAGAAACCTTTGTTCCCTGTTTTCCATTTACTTTGAAGGTTCATAAAAGACGAAGAAGAAAAAAACAATGCTTCATTTATTCTATTTTGAACCTCGGGCCTCATATAAATCTAAAAAACACACACTTGTGAATTTGCATGAAGACAGCTGCTGTTCAAATACTCTTCTCTTTCAAATACATGACGGGTATAAATAGCCCAAATGACAGCACTAAACAAACAGACAGTCTTCTGTTTCTTCAGAGTACTTTCTGTTCACCATCACATTGTTTTTTTTGTTGTTTTTTTTACCAAGTTACACAGTAAGAAAGTGGCTAAATGTGGATATATTTATTTTTCAAACAGCAGAAGACTTTCAGAGAGGGATAAGTTAGCACTTTCCAAAAGAAATCCAAAAGCTCAGGGCTGCAGATGTTTGTTGTGTTTCTCCCTCTCATCTTCTGCCTTTGACTATGAACTCATCTTACAAGATATTCAATGACATGAAAGACAGGAAAAAGGAAGAAGGCAATAGTGTAGGTGGTAGACAGACCAAAAATTCTGTCATTATCTACTCACCCTCATTTCATCTCATGGTTTTTCTTTTTAAATGGAGCTCAGTGTAGTGTCTGGACGAATCAGACACACACAAATGAATCATTATATTTAATGAAGAATCCAACAAACTCACTCTTCCAACAAACTTCTCCCACAAATGAAGCCTACTCACTGGCAGAACCTGGTAACCAGCTTTACGACCCAGCGGAATGGTGACGCTCTCTTAATTCTTGCTGAGAAGAAGAAATTAACCCTTTTAATCCTAAATATTCTATATATATATATATATAACCATATGATAAATGTATTAACATGTATCTAATTTCCCATCTCATAATTTTCCTTTTATGTGGTTTGGCCTATGTATTCATTCAAGAGAAAAGACTTGCATATTATGGTTAACCATAATCATATGTTTAGCATGTTTAGTCTCTATAAACTTCAATCTTCACCCCCCTTTTCGCCAATTTACATTTAATTTTGCTAACTTTATGACGCATTAGTCTTATAAGAATCGTTAAGTTTCGTAAATTTTCGTAAACACCCAATGAAATTAAGCATTCAAATGCTCTGCTAGAAGACAATGGGTCGTAAAAACTCCCTCCCAAAGGGGAAGCTTCACATTGGCTCACGCACCTCAGGGTGTGACATCATCACGCTAAAAAATCACTGATAACAAGATCAGCTCTCTTTTGCTCCTTTTGCTCTTGTCCTCTTAGCCTCTTGCTCTCTGACTCTCTTGGTCCTTCTTGAGAAGACCTAACGTGAAGATGAGGCTGAACTAGAAGTCCCTCAAGGACTCTCAAGTTCGCGCCATGTTGCGGCCCTCTCTTTCCATTCACCCAAGTTCCTCTGACTCCCACTGGTTCTCTCTCATCAAGACCAAATCAGCAAAGATCAACTGGAGCCTCAACAAATTGCATCAGGACAGTTTAATTCAAATGGACGAGACATGCAAGTAACAAACGTAGTTTCATTATTTGATACATGAAGAATCCTTACCCCTTTTAAAGAAGGGTGTGTTAGAACTAAACTGATGGTTTGCTAAGGCTGTCGATCTGCTGAACATCAAACAATGTTATAACTGCTTGCTTTCCTGTATTCTGCTTCAGCTCTCTTTCCCTTGACAAACTGTATGCATGTATGTATGTGTGTTTTAGAGTAGTTTAAATGTTTAGTCTAGTTAATAAAGTCTTTTTCATATCACACGTAAAGTTGTCTGTGTCTCAAGCTCATATCTGGAGTCACTAATCATAGGTCTTGACTATTTCCTCTTAGTAGTACTTAGTAAGAAAGACATTTCCCATGCCCCGGAAATGTACATTTCTATGAAATAATTAATTAATAACCAATATTGAGTGTTCACAAGATGAACCGAGTAAGTCGTGTAATGTTAATGTAGTATCAAGTTAAACCGATTAACTGATCCGAATATTCATAATATTATAACAAGCTATGATTGATTATTAATATTTCATAGAGCTAGTTTGCTACAACAAAATGTGGTATTTAACAACATGTCTAGGCTGCACTGGTCCAAAGAAAATGAGACAAGCTCAAAAAAGAAAAACATGAAAGTATCATGGCAAATTACACACTGAACCTATACATTTCAGCCTGCCCCTTAGTACATAAACCTCTTGCACAGCTTCAACATTCTGCTAAACTTCTTCTTATGTGCTCCATGTCATACAGGTTTATAAAAATATGAGGGTGAGTAAATGATGACAATTTCATTTTTGGGTCTCCTTTGAGTTGGGTCTCCTGATATTGCTCAGAATTATCTCTTAATCATGGAAAACACACTCTCTCTGTGTACCTGTGTTGGTCTGGGTGACGTTCCTCCATCTCTGGCTGGAGTCTGGGGCTACGGAGAGTTTCACCCTGAGGGTCTTACTGCTGCTGGGGGAGTGATTCACTGATGAGTCCACCACCTCATATATAGTGTGCAGTAGACTGGTGATGTCCTGGACATAGGGAGATAGGGAGGAAAAAGAAAACACATTAAATTAAGAGATCTTCACTGACACAAGACAGTTGATTAGTCTTTTATATGCTGTGTGATATATAAGATACATGCATTATTCATAATTCATACACAAGCATGTCCATAATAACGTGTTAATCAGAATCTCCATAGCCTCAGGGAGGGTAAACAGATGCTGACGGCAGTGGAGAGCACATGTGATGCATCTGAGGCTATTTAGCATGTGAAAATGAAATGTAAATGCAGAGCAACTATGAGGCTGAGGAAAATAGTGAGAAAGTGAGAGTAAATGAAAGTGAAAAGTGAGAGATGCAGAGACAAGACAGACCGGACAGAGACAGTGACAATGACGCGGTGGAAGAAAAAAGTTCCATCCATTTATTGTGTCCTGTTAGTGTTGTGTTACTGACAAAAGACATCCGTCACTGTCCTTACTGCGCATAGGTCTCAGACGTTTTACCTCTCTCGTGACCTTGCCGTTGTTATCAAAGTCGTAGAGGGTGAAAGTCCACTCCTGCCTGTTATCTTCTTCAACTGATACAGCACACTCCAACTCCTGATTAATAAACAACAATGATAATCATTGTTTTAGTAACACACACGTTAAAATAAAATGTTCAGCAGTCATTACTCCAGTCTTCAGTGTCACGTGTCTCTTCAGAAATCATTCTAATATGCTGATTTGCTGCTCAAGAAACATTACTTATTATTATAAAAGGTTGTGCTGCTTAATATTTTGATGGAAACTGTAATGCACTTTTTTTTAAATCTTTATTGAATAGAAAGTTTAAAATAACAGCATTTATTTAAAACAGAAATATTTTGTAACATAATAAAATGTCTTAATACTTTACTGCCACTTTTAATTGTGATAATGTTCAAAACAAATGTCTGACCCCACATTTTTAAAAGTATGCCCTATCCAGTATGTATGTATGTGTGTATACTGACCTCAAACTGTAATTGTTTGTGTGGGCCGACGGTGGCAGAGCCTTCAGTGTCCTGCATTCTCTCTTCCACACTGCAGCTGTCAGTCTTCTCAGGGGGCAGAGCCACTGCAGGGGGACACACATTCACATAATGTTGAGGAAATCATAACTCAAGTAAGATATTTCAAATGTTTTTTTTTTTTTTTAATTTAGTCAATAATGCAGTCCTCTTGGACCTAAACTGACATCTTCTGTATCAAAAGCACAAATGTGTTCAGTTTCAAATACTATTGAAGAAATGTGCTATTTATAATCAGTTATTTTAAAAAATTATTCAGAAAGTGAAAAATTCCAATCACGCGGTTAAGATAAAGCCAGTAATATTTGGCTATTTTCACTGATATGTCTTCATCTAATGTGAGTGACTGTACATTATTTTAAACATTGTTCAAAAGTGCTATTCATTTCTTAGCATTTTTTTTAAATAAGGAAAATACTGAAATGCACCAACAATAAAATTATTATGCATGTATGACAGAAAATAGATAGAAAAAGAAGCACCACACACCACACTTCGTATAGTATGGGACATAAATCACACTTTATACAAAATTTGCTATCTTATCTTCAATGCTAAACTCAGAAGTACATGTTCCTCTACTACATACTTTGTTTAAGTCTGGGAAGGCATTTACTGACGTGTCAGACATGTTGCTCAAGCCCAATTCTCAATTCAGTACCATTTTTTTTGCGCAAAGGCAGTGCTTTCACAATGGATCGACTGAAAGAATCTTAACAAGAAAGCCAACCACAACAACAATGGTGAGGAAAAACTCTCTAAGATGTTTAGGTAAGAAGATGAAGAACTGAGAGGAACCAAAGACAGCATATGTAAATGTAAGCAAATGTAAGCGGTTTAAATCAAAACACAATGTGGTAGTTTCAACATCAATTACATTTAAACGGCACTGGTGTCTTGCGTGTAACTTTGACATGCCAAGTTTAAGTGCAACTGGGTTCTAAAGGCAAGATTTTCAGTCAATAACCACTTTGAATTTTGTTCTGTAGCTACTGAAAATTTTTTAATATTGTCATATGGGGTTGAGTTTATGGTGCATTTTTACAGGGGGAAAAACGTCATAAGCCGCTTTCCGACCAAGTAGTTACAGGAACTTAGTTATAGGAACTGTCCACTTCTAAACAGTTCTAAGAACTACTCTCCCCCAAACTTGGTTTTGCTGCTTGCGTTCGCACTGGCCAAGTGGCTATAGGAACTGGTAGGAGGGGTAGCGCAAGCACGGCGACGGTCTTTATAGCGCCATAACTAGACGTAGCGCGGCCACATACAACAACAAACAACCAGCATGGAGGAGGCTATAGCAATGTTCCTGTTCTGCCTTGCCAGGACCTTAATTTAAAGATTATGCTTGAGTTCTGTACAGAGAAACACAGAAGACGAAGGCTCCAGCGTAATATGATAAAAAGTCTTCGTAATATGAATAAAAGAGCAGAGCGCAGGAGGCAAACAAAACGACGGGTAAGTTTAGCTATTATTAGCAATTAGCTGGTTGAATGCGTTATGTTTGTCTTAATCCTCGTTGTAATGTTTTGCAAAAAAACACAGCGTATGGCAGACAGCGCGCTACAAGTTCCGTGTTGACAGTGGGCATGACTTATAAGTTGAACCAATCAACGTAGACCTAGGGAAAGGGAACTAAAAAAGTTCTCGCTCTACACTAGGTACTGAAAGAGTTATAGGAACTATGGTCTGAGGAACTAAAAAATCCCCAATTTAGTCCGGTCGGAACACGAGAAAAAAAGGGTTATAGGAACGTTAGGTTCTAGGAACTGCAAAAGTCCCTCCGGTCGGAAAGCGGCTATAGAGGTTTGACCAAAAGACGTCAGAATTGTTGAGTGAACTATCCCTTTAGGAGCAGACACCAGGAAATCAGCTATATGCCTGGATAAAGCTGTAAGTATAAATGCTTAAATAGACTAACTTCTCCCATCACAACCTAAGGCCAGACTTCAGAAATATCTTAATTGTGTCCATGTCTAAACAAAAGCCAATTTAAAGTGAGAAAGACAGAGTCTAAAAGTGGCCCGTTCTGAAGTAAAGAATGCCCGTTAGGATTAATCCTGAACTCAATACCCAAATTTCAGAGGCAGTTTGTCTCTTTGTGTACTGTGGGTAATAAGACGGAGATGTTTTAAACGAGAGCAGATCTAACACAGCTCAGTGAGGACACGGCTCAGCACCAGGCTGGGTCCTGCAGGCTAAATCCTCCCCCCTGCCCCAAATCCCTGTGCTTTGAAGTTCCATTCTCAAACCTTTTGGCCCAGGATCAGTCCGTCTGTAAAACAGAATCTCTAATTAATTAAGCAAAGTCAAATCTGAAACAGTGTTTGTTGTACGAGCCAAAAGGATAGGCAGACACAACAATATCTCTCTCTGTCTTCTCTCTCACTCATTCACTTCTCCTCCGCTGATCTGCTCAGATCAAAGAGGACCTGTCTTGTCCCTCTGCAGCAAGAGGCAAGGGAGGATGAAAAAAAGAAAAGAAAAGCACCAGAGGATGAGAGCAGCCTTACCCGGGGAGCTTTTACAGGTTTTTTGGAGGGAAACAGCGTCAGATCAGGGCTTTTGATCAGGGCCAGAAACTCAAAGGCAACGCTGAGCTCCAGGGCCAAAGCCTGCTTGCCAGCCAGCTTAGAATATACAGGAGCTGTTTATCTAGAGGACTAACAAATGGTCACAAAAAAAAAAAAAAACTACACACACACACCATACACACAAAAGAAGTGCTAACTCTCACAGCAGTGGTCAAAGTCCTGCCCCACAGAGTGATGAGACAGCCAAACCCGCAACAGAGAGCACTGGTGACGGAGCTTAAATACAACACTATACAACACAGAGGACAGCTTGGCGGCGTCCCAAATGTGGCTTTGAATCTAAAGGTTCACCTGGAGTTCACAATAAACTGTGAGGTGACTGAAGCGGAGCGTGTTTCCTCAGCGTGCATGTTTGGTACAGGCTAAAGTGCAGTGAAACTTTAACAGCAAGTTATAATTTACTTAGTAATAGGTAATTTACTTAGTAATATAATTTACCATGTTACTAGGTCTAGGTCTAACCTTGTTAGACTACAAAACTACATCACTCCCATTAAAAATCAAAGAAGCTGTTTACACTCCATTGTTTTGTTTTGTTTTTAATCAAGGAATATTAAAAACTTTTTTTCCACAAATTTAAACAAACTAGTGTACAAACTAAGCTAATATCTCACTTCTGTTTGTGTATATGCAATGTGAAAATGTTATTATGATTAACAAAAATTGCATTGCTTTTTATTTTACATTTTTACAGATCCAATAATAAAGATGCCAGATCCAATTCCAGAGGTAACCGATCCAGCATAATTTACCGCCTGACTATGAGGCAACCTTAACACCACAAACACCTTAGCCAATCAAATCTCTCCTCGACTCACCTTTGACCCACACAGATATGAGCGGACCACTTACAAGCACACATACGCTGTAAATGTTACACAGGAATCTGACCTTGCTGTAGCCTTTTGATCAATCAAATGATTCAATAAACATCACAAAAAAATAATCATTCTGAGCCAACACTGTGATTTCAACCAAACCCTTTCTTCTCACCACCATAGTTATTATATATTACTTAATCCAGTGGAGAAATAATGAAACGGCTCTTTATATGCAGGAAAACATAAGTTGTTAGTGAGATAGTTTACCTTCTAAACGATAATGTTCATCACTGATGCCCTCAGCATAACCTTCATCCAGTGGGTCCTGCAGGAAGAAGGAAGAAAGCGTTAGGCCTCTTCAAAAGAACAAAATTATAATATGACACTTCTCATTTATAATATGACACTTCTCACTTCTCACTAACTAATTAACATATACATATTTGGGTGCTTTTCAGTGTTTTTGTATTATGAAGACAGGAAATTGATCACAGGACATGATGCAGGCTGGATTTTAATTTGCATCCCCCACACGAGCACCTCAGCATGGGTGCGAACCGAAAGACTAGATGGATGACATCACAGATAGAGTGAAAAACCTAGAGTAATACTGGAAGTGTCTCATCAAACATATTAAACCATTCTACCCATACAACACACACACAAGCAGAACATTTCTGTCATCTTCCAAACCAGCAATCAGTCTAGAAGAAGACTATTGTCTCAACACACCTGCTACCTTTGTCTCATTTTAATACTCCAGCTGTCTGGATACTAACAATTCATTTCTCTGACCCGACAGCATCCACTGAAGCTCTGCAGCTGTGTGTGTACATGCTGTTTTTCTGCCAGTGAGGGGATGCTTTGTCTTTATCCACACTAGACAAGCACACTAAATGTCTTGCTGTAGTGCCTCCAGCCATACACTGGCCGCTAGAGACACAAAGCCGTGCACACAAACACACACGCTCACCATAATGCTCGAGAGGTTAGCCAACAGCATGCGAGGGGAATGTGCTAATTATGCGTTGTCTGGATGATGGATGGGATGTATTATAAATATGACTTCTTTTCAGTTGGCTAAAATGAGAAGCAGTCAGCAGAATTTCTCCTACTATTTCTCTTTAACATTTTTCTTTCTCTCTATCATTCAAGGTCAAGTTTGGCTAAAGCACTACTTGGCCCTTTCAAATGAGTGCGCTGTGTTTGAGAGTGTGGACATGTGTTGTTATGTAGGACATTGAGGACTGTGAGAAACTCACTAATCCCTGAACTTCACCTCCAAGTGGCATTTAGCACAATCACTGTGGCGTCTGTCCGCCCCTCTCAGTCACTCTTAAAAAGCTCTATAGAGTCCACAGTCTCAACCATATATTAAAACCTCTTTTCTTTTTTCTCGGCTTCTGTTTTCTCACCCCCGCCCAAGGCGAAACCCCTTACAATAATACAAATAATTTAAAAAAATTATATTTAACATATATGTATTAACTAGGGATACTAGGGATATATATAAGTGAAAAATAAATACAAATAAAAAATCAAAATTAAAATGTTACACTTATTAAAATGTTAAAAAAAGATATAATACAACACACACCATGGAATTACCCTGGTACATGTCCATGTTGCTTTTTAGATCCAGTCACCTTTCAAGCAAATAGTGGAGTGTGTCACTACATGGCACACGGACACACTGTACTACAGTGACCTTGACCACTGAAACAGACCTTTTTAAATGACATGTTTTTGTACACTTACCAGATAACATCAGAGGTTAATTGGCTGAGGAGAGTGAAATCAGTAGGGGCTGATCTCTCTTCAGCGGTGTAATGAAAGACTGAAGTGGTATCTCTACACACTCAGTGCATGTGAGTGTGACCATGTGCTTCAGGTCACTCACTAATGTATGGAGACAAAGTGCCATTTATAGAACAATTGAAAACTCACTGAGAAAAAAGGGAAAGAGTTTGCGTGCGAAGAGTAAGAGAGAAGGAAACAGAATTTGATTAAAATAATAATCTTGTAATTTCACAGATGAAGTCTTGTGAGCAGGGGTGGGCAATCTGACCAAAATCGTATATCATGATATGAAGGATAATAAAGGTTCTTATTGAAGGTAAAAGTGATACAAGTCAAGAGCAGTGAGAGATTTTCTCTCTTTAGTTGCTTGATTAACATTAAAGGTAGGCTAGGCTTTTTTTTCTTTTTTCAAAAACACTTTTTGTCATTCTGGTTGAAGTTGAATTCAAACTCAGATTTATGTATTTCTATGTCAACACTATCAATGCTGAAATTAATCTGCAGCTCTCAGGTGGTATAAGAGTTTGTTTATGTTCAATACTTTTGTAATGTCATGTGCTTTAAGACATGATGTATTTTAACGTCTCTTTTGGCTCTTTCCTGAATCTGCTCTGGCTATGCGCTACCTGCGTTTTCATGTGTTTTGGGGGAGGCGTGGCATTGGAGACGCTCTGAAGGGAGAGTGGGATCTAATGCTTTCAAAGCAGATCCTGCCAACTCTCACCCATTGGGCTTGAGGCACACGCATTTGATTGGTTTCACACGCTCACACGCCACACCCCCGATTTCTCATGCTGAAGTGTCAACCTGGTCGGTCAAATGCCTGGAAGATGAGTTTATCTATATATCTACCTATTTAGCCAGGATATCTTGCCACAAGATATGCCGCAAATTAGTTAAAAATTTGCGGCATATCTAGGCATATGCGGCATATGACATTTTAAACCGAATGAAAAAAAAAAATCTGAGAACTTGTGCCCAGTGACAAACTACTCATATCCATATTTGTTACTGTCTTGACTCTTGTGTTTATAAATGTTTATAAGAGATGGAAAAATGACAATTCTGCTGTGGATATTTTGCCTCAGTAGCATCATGAAAAGGCCTGTGAAACATAAACAAGGGCTTCACTCAATCTGTGCCAGCAACCAGAAACTCTTTCCCAGACACTATGTTTCACACTCTGTAAAACCAACACGATCTTTTTGTTTTAACGTGAGCCAAAACAGGAAAGAAGAGAGATTTGAGTACTTTACTACAAATGGATGGCCACAGAACCCAGTGGAACATTACTGATTTGCCATAATAACACATAAACACATACATCAAGCACTCCATTACTGTTTTTGTTGGCCCTGTTATCAGAGGAATAAGCATAATTAATCTTTCAATATAATTACAAATGTGTACAATTTACAAACCTAAATTACAAATAGAAGAATGAAATGATAGTAAAACTAAGAGATAAAGAGTATACCCGGGACACATTGTACGATTTGTCTTTCCCATCTGAAAGATGACCAATTTCTGTGGACGTGGCGGCTCCTAAACAGTGGTCATATGTCATACAGTGAGAGAGGTTCAAAGATGGCTGTCGTCACGGTTTTGTGACCAAAGACATCCTGCGATAATTTTCTGACAGTGAAAAACAATGGACCAGATCATTAACTTGAGTGTGTTGAGATACAAATGAGTGCTTAATACTATAGACAATGCTCCTCTAAACAAAAATTTACATAAATAAAAAGCAGTTCTGAACGACTTAATCCTCAATAAATAAATACATTAATAAATGTAAGTTTGAAAAACTTATCTGTTTAATTATCTGTATCTATCTGTATTGTATCTGTTTAAAACTGGTCCACAACAGAAAATACCACTTGGCTATTAGTGCCCCCAAGCAGTTGGAGACTCCTGGGCTAGCTGTTATAACGAATAACCGCATCTTCTTGAGGGTAATTATTTGTGTGTAGCTCACAGAAGCACAACATAGATGTTGGGTCTTGCCAGGTTAACCCAAGGAACACATTCAAAATACTTTGCCTAGTAAGTGTAAGTGTATGTAATGGTCACCCCCAAGTGTCTGGACTGGCACATTAATATGTAAGGGCTATGTAAAAAATACACAGGGAAAATTGCTAAGAGAAAGCCAGGAGATTTCTCACCCAGGTTAAGTAGGGGATGTGCATCTTAATTAGATTACTCGTATGAATGCGGCCTTGTTCATTTTGTCATTATGGCATGTGTGTGAATGCATGTATGTGGGTAAGGGAGTGTTTGTGTGTGTGTGTGTGTGTGTGTGTGTGTGTTGTGGAAAGTCCCACACAACTCTGTCTGTATTTTCTGTTTGCTTGCCACGCCGCAAGGGCTGATGGACAATTTACAGAGCTGATGACAGTTCTGCATGATCATGGGCCAGACGCACACACGCACACATAAAACACACAGACAAGATCAGTCGCCAAGCCTTCACTACGCCATAGTCTTGGAAAGTCATCAAACCCAGGAAAACTTAATTAAGACCGTCGCCTCTCTCTCTCTGTCGCCTTCTCACTCCTCTGTCACCTTCGGTTTTCACACTCACAGACCAGTCCTAATCATATTAAAACCAGGAATAAAAGATGGAACGGCAGCCAATCAGAACCACTCCATTTTTAAGACAAGTTAAGCCTTCATAAAGACACATGTGCCATATTTCACCAGCGAGACAATCAACCACGAATATATAGTCACGATCGCTGACGGAGAAAGACTTGCAGCTGAATTCCTGATTAATCTTCTGTGTCTGTTATCTTGGTTAAGCGTATATGGTTACATGCGCTGGATCTCTGGAGAGGGGGTGTACCTATGCTAGCACAGCCTCCTGCACCGAGGGCACAGCAAAACCGGCCCTCGCTAGCTACGGGCCAATCCAAAAATGACTCCCTGTACTCCCCCCAGTACCCTACTACATACTTTCCTAAATGTGAGAATGAAAGCGTCTGGAGTGCAGTGACCTACATAAGCACTTCATACTTATAATGAGCAGAACAGACAACCCAAACAACCTGAACTATTGACTGGAGTTAAAGGGACAGGTCACCCTAAACAAAATATATTCATTTACTCATGTAATTCCAAACCTGTATGAATTTCTTTGTTCTGCCTTTTTGCGAGAACACTGCTCAAAACATTTACTTTCATTGCATGTTCCAAAAAAAAAAAAAAAAAAAATGGAACATGCAATGAAAGTAAATGTTTTGAACCCCATTCACTTTCATTGTATGCACAAAAACATCCATTCCTTCAAAATATATTTTTTTGTTCCACAGAAGAAAGAAAATCATGAGTGCGAGTAAATGATGACAGACGTTTCATTTTTGGGTGATGTCCCATACTGTCCAATAAATAAGGTGATGTCTTGCTGCTGTGTCACACGATTAATTCTGAAAAAGACTCCCACTGACACTCCTCTCGGATACAGTGTCATGCATTGCAATGCCCCTTTTTGGCAGCTAATCATTGTGAAGAAAGAAGTGCCGTGCA